GGCACACTTTCTAGGATTGTAAAAGAAAGTAGGAAGAAACCGGAAGGAAGTCGGATGCTGAAAAGCTGTGATGAGGTATGTACACTTCACCTTACCAGAAAAATCAGGCAGGATGGTTAACTCTCAGTTATCTCCTTCTGGAGCCAAGCAGATCCTCCTGCAAAGGTCTTCGAAAAGAGGAACTGGGAGACCACAGTCAGAAGAGGTTGTTCTGCCTGGCAAAAGCTTATTTAGGAAGAGGGCTGACACATTGGTGAGTTAGGAGCATGGTGAGAAAGTAACATCTCTGGAAAGATGGGGCAGAAGATGCTAAAATTGAATCTTGTCTGGAGTCTTGTGTGGGGATTGCTATTAGTATGCCTAGATGTGTGTTAAGTGATCTACAAAGCAGCAGCAAGCTATTCATGGGTTTATTAAGAAAAATGAAGTGCAAATCTGCTTTATCAAAGGCTTTGACACATTCAAATTTGAAAACACCCTGTTGAACATGTTAGTTGGTCTTAATAGTAAGGGGATTCAGGGGTGAAGTTTCGGGTCTTGCAAAGCAAATGAAGAACAAACTTCAGGAGAAGCCTGGACAGTGAATTCAGGGGTCTTTAATTTCTTTAGAAAAAATGTCTTAGTGAAGATTGTTGGGAATATGTGGCATTCTGCTTGCTTTGAGTGTGGTATGTAAAACATTCCAAAAGGGGGGGGCAAATATGGTAATGGCAGTTGCCAGAGGAGCTGGAAAAAAGGGGTAATAACAGTCACAGGATAATGGACTCAAAGCTGGAGGAAAAAAGCTTTGATGGGAATAAAGAAGTGAGGTATCTCATGTTGGGGAAGGAAATAAAATGCATAATTTGTGAGGAAACATCAGAGAATTGAACAGTTTGATTTAAAATATTGAAGTTTTTAGTCTTAGAGGTCAGTGATGTCTGTATTTCCATTTGTCATGTTCCTTAAAGAAGGATCTTCGTTATACTCAGGTGTCCATAGCCATGGGATGACAGTGAGCCCATTTGTGTTCATAAAAATGGAAATCACTTCAAGTGTCTGCTTTAAAACAAACCAAATGTTGATAGTTGCAGGTATATCAATATTGAAGAACTGAGGGCTTCTCAGTGCCAGGCTTACAGTGCCCTTTGACAAAAAAATAGAAAAAAGACCCACAAATTTTCCTTTCTGGAAATGATCTTGTAAGTGACTTTGGCACATAATTGTTCTTCTGTATTTCTCCCTTCCACAAGTATCTTGAACACTGTGCAGCAATGTGACTATTGCCACCTCTGTTTGGAATAATAAGACCTGTTATGACAAAATTACGACTATCTGTTATTTAATTTTTGATTACCAAAGATATCTTAGTCTGAGTATCCTAGGTGCTGGGTATGTAAATTATTGAGACTTTGTGAAATGCAAAAGAGAGAAAATGAAGAGAAGAAGCAATAGGGCTGTGTTAAATATAGTAATCATAAAAGCCTGTGTGACAGGAAATTGTAAATTGACTTAGTAATTAGGAAATGCATTCATTCATTTTTGCTTTTGCATGCATTTTTGTGTATTTCAGGGGACGTGCATAACTTGATTCTATGACTATAATTCTTTAGGACAATTGGATACTCCGGTGAGAGATGCTTAATTAGATATATTCAGATATATGCACCTAAAAGATAAAACAGTAGGACGTCTTTAAACAGGAAGGAAATTTGTTAGGAAAATAGAATTATTTTGAAGATGTCTTCTCAATTCCACAAAGGGTACTTGCAGCGTGAACATACTTTTAAAAACTGACAGTGGTTTGGAAAAGAAAACATTTTAAGTAAAGATAATTACCTTTTCTTTTTACTCCTAGGAGAGTTCAGCATGGTTTGGAAGGAGAAGTTTGGATTTGTTATGCAGCACGAGTGTTGCCTTCTCAATGTCATTTTCCCATCTGTCTTGCTCAGCAGTGTCACTGTCTCGGCTGATGCCTGTGTGCAGTCATCAGTCAGATCACAGTGACACAGTGAGCCTGAAAACTATTCTTGTACAATGTCATGCTCCATATCTCCCTCAAAGGAACTGTGGATACAATTTGAACTTGTTTATATTCTTTCCAGTGGCCAGGAAAATGAATAATTCCTTTTTCCGTATTTGGAAATCCCTCAACAATAGATTTACCATTATTTAATCTTTCTTATTTTATCAGCTATATTTATCTTCTGGTGCTCGTGGAACTCTATTGCTGACACCAGTCCCATAGAAATTTAGGGAAACCTCTCAATCTATTGCAAGGGAAACAGGCTATAAAAATCTTACTTTGTCTAACATTTGCCATCACTTTCCCCACAGCAAAAATTGTCCTGTGCACAAAATGCAAACGATGTTTCATTTAACGTCATACTTATAAAAAACCAAAACACAATCTATTGGTGACAATACATTTTCTGTTCTGTTCAAGATTTATTTGGCATTTGTATTAATATGTATGAATTCTGTCCTGGAAAGTACTTAGGCTGGAACTGAGTGATGTCTTGCAGATGGTGTGCCTAACTTTTAGTGACTCTTGCTGCCCTTCACTGTGTCTAGCTCTCCTGGCTTCTGTGGATTATGAGTTTCGACTGAAAACATTCCAGATCTGGAATGAGCATGCGCTCTATATTTAGTCATGTCATCAGGAGTACCATTGTGCAAGTTGCTTATCTTTCTTAACTACATCAGGGATTGTCCTTCCTCTCCTTGTAAAGAACAGAAATCTTTACATTCAAATGGCTGCCACGAATTCTTCCTGTGAACTAGCCAGACACTCAATAACGGTGTACTTTAGTACATATCAGGCAATGACACCTATTTCTAAAATTCTTAATATTTTGTATCGGCTTCTGTTTTCATAGAAATCCAGGCTAAAAGGGATCTTGTGAGGTCATCTCTTCATAATTCCTGATCTAAACCAAAATAAGTATGCTTAGAATCTCCCTGCCAGAAGCTTTGTCTGGGCCAGCCTTCAGAAACTGGTGATAAAGCAAATGCCATGACATTCCTACTTAGGCAGTTTTGCTCCTCATTACATTTTGGAATATTTCTATGTATTTCTATCTTCAAATTTATCTTGCATAAATCAAGCTGATTTCTTCTTGCCCTGACATGGATGACCACGGAAAAAAATTTGATTGGTATGTATGAAATCCCATCAACTGCATTTTAATTTTGAAATAATACAGTAATGATCCTTTTGTTATCTTGCTTGCTTTCCTCACCCAGTAAGGTAACATTTGGTCTTTCTTTGACTTGAATATTTTTAGTTTGTCCTCTTCTTGTTGTAAACAACTTTTGGACTTGAGACTCAAAAATAAAGCAAATCTTTCTGCATATTTGATCTTCTCTTTACAGTGCTCTTTATCCTACAGCATGACACAGGTATTAGCTGTGCATGGCCATTTTTTCTCTTCCAAATAATTGGAGAGTTCTGTTATATACTAATATTTTTATTCTTTACTGAATTACTGACATTAAGTAATCCATTACATATATTGCTTTTTTTCTCTAATTCCTTTTGAAGAAAAGCTATCTGGAAGTGTCTGAAGTCTACCATTTTTTGTGGGTTCAAATTTGCAGCAATTGGGGACCTCAGCAAATGTCCTTGAGTTAGCCAGGGACAAAGGAATCTGTTCCTCTTCTTGTGCTATTTTTGGAATCATTAATACTGTTCTCCTGAAGTGGCTTTTTCCCCATGCCGTTTGGGAATCCAACAGTTGAAAGTTGTTTTCCTCAATTTGAACAAATATTCCATAGTGATTCCTTAGTGAAGTTTTTCCATCATCTGAAAAAGCACTGTAGTTTTGGAGTAATGGCACTGAAAATTTTCCAGGCATGTTGATTTGCCTAATGTCTCCAAGACCTCTTTCATATTTTGTATTTCCCTATTGTCTGATAACATATTTTTCTACCTGTAAGAATCAGGGTATTGATTTCTGGTCTCTTAAGCTCTTGCCACTGCTGGATGGGAATTGCACTGCACAATCTTGAAGAACAATTTGGTTGCATAACCCATATTTCAGTATAATCAGAATTGCCCTGAAATTGTCTTGCAAATTAATCTGTCTTACCATGAAACCTTTCGTGGTTTTAATTCTCAGCTGTTCTGAGCACAGCTGCAAAATCATGCTAAAAGGCATATTACATGTTTTGCGTTATGGCTTATGACTTTCTTAACCAAGATTTAATAATTGAATTTCACTGCTCCTCAAATGCTCTGCCTCTGTCTGGCCTCGCACCTTTTATAGATTGTGCTTGTCCTTTATCAAATGTACAGGCCATGATGAAAAAGCCATAACTAGCAGGCTTTTCTATGCATTGTACCTCATTTAAGTTTCCTGAAACAGCAGCAGCCTCTAAATCATCAAATTCAATTGTATTCAATTCTCAGGAAAATAGGAAATAGATCATTAGAGTACAAGGCAGCCTGAAATCCAGCTGTGATTCTGTAACCTCCTAGACACTGGATCTAATTGTGACTGACAGAAATTATAGTTTTAATTTTTTTATTATTTTTCCTATATAATGTCTCCAGCATTATTTGCAGATTCCTACTCCATGTTTTGTTGAAAAGTTATAGTATATGAAGGGTTGAAAAAGTGCAGGGAAACATGCAGACCTGACTTGTGCAAGGGGTGGTGATGTGTGTAATACAAGTGGAAAAAAGAGGAAATGAAAAGATTTGGATGTTGCCACCGACAGGGTGAAGTTGTAAGGGCAAGTGCTGAAAAGAGAGGTATGACGTAGAAAGGATGTTCATATTTAGTGATTTTACACTGGAAATAGCAAAGGCATGTAGTGATAGGAAAACAGGTAACACTTTTAAACTGAAAGGGGGTAGTTTTAGATTAGCTATAAGGAAGAAATTCTTCACTGTGAGGATGGTGAGGCACTGGAACGGGTTGCCCAGAGAAATAGTGGATATCCCATCCCTGGAAGCGTTCAAGGACAGGTTGGATGGAGTTCTGAGCAACCTGGTTTATTGAAAGGTGTCCCTGCCCATGATGGGAAGGCTGGAACTAGATGATCTTTAAGGTCCCTTCCAAACCAAACCATTCTGTGATTCTGTTTCTATGAAAGTGTAGATACAGATTTTGACATACTTTAAAATATATACCACTGCTCTCCCAAGGCAGAAAAAAAATTAATTAATTCATCCAAAGTGTTCCCAGGGGATGCAGACAAAGCAAGCAACATTAGTAACACATTCCTATAAAGCTGCCATATTTAGATTCAAACTTGCAGTATTCAGGGATCTCAGCATGTCTCCTTGAATTACCCAGTTATCAATAAAGGAAGCATAAAATCTCACAGCTTTTATTAGACCCTTAATATTGTTGAAGAACATATTTCACTACCTTTAGCTGAGTTCCTGATATTGTGCCTCAAACTCCTAATTTTACCTCAAATAGTTTCTTCCACACGGTGCCTTTAGAGAGCAATGAATGATATGTAATCGAAAAGTGGCTGAGATCAACCAGGGAAAACTGGAACCAGAGCCTGGAAAAAAAAAAGAGAAAGGAAAAATCAGAAGAATCTGGTAATCTTATTAATGAATGATGCCTGGAGGCATTCTTCTTCTAGGGATCTAAATCATAAACCTACCTCCTGATAGGCCCAACACAAGTCAGCTTGTGGACTTGTATGAATCTAGAGTAAGTTTTCATCTTGATCTTATTTTTAGAATAGAACTCTGCAAGTTACTGTAATAAAACATGCTTTTTCAATAATGTATTTGCCTGTAATTAACAGATGTATGTGATAATATGCTAATGCCACAGGCAACGTGATGCATCAACTCAGTATCTGGTCATATAACAAGGGTGACAAATTGAAAAAGGGAGTTTCTAACTTGATATAATGAAAGTACGTTCACCACAAGAACATGGGAATAAGTTGCTAAAAGAGGCTGTGGAATTTCTGTCCTGATCATTTTCACACCCTTAACTGGACTAAGACCTGAGCCACCTGGCCTAAATTCAATGGTGACTCTGCAGGGGGCTGCACTAGATGACCACTGTCTCTTTCATTGCAAGAACTGAAGGGAATCAGTGAAATAGGATCTGGGATCAAACCAAACAGAAGAAGGTGGCTCTTCATACACAGCTCAGGTAAGATGAACATTAGGAACACTTTGCTACTGGCTGGCTGGAAGTTATGTGGGCTGTAGTCTGGACAGGTTCACAGAAAAAACTCATTAGGAGTTACATATGTAAATAACATCTTGCTCAAGAGCTTTCTGAGCTCAGAGCTTCTGAAGACAAGCATTAGATGTAGGTACCATAGTTAAGGGATAAAGGGAAGAAGCTGGGGAGTTGTATATGATGGTTTGGCTCTTTCACTCTTCACTGGCACCTGCTCCTGTTGGGGCGTGAGACTGAATATTGGGCTAACCAGACATTTAGTGTGACCCCATACAGATGCTTTTAGGACCTGAAATCCAAAACACAATTAATGTTTATTCAATTAAGTTACTATTCATTTGAAGTGGAGAAGCTTATTTTGTCATGGTGGTCCACCGGCCAAAGTGTGGTGGAGTTCCAAGCTCAACTCAATGAGTTCATGCAGCTGACAGAACATGAAAGACTTGCTTCATAGCATCAAGGCAAATTAATCTTTCCAGAGCAAGACTTTGTCTTATCTCTTCTGCACAGACCTAAACATGCAATGACACTAAGCAACTTGTATTTGATTTACTTTTTAATTGCATGAGAACTGACCTTATTGCAGGTTCTGTGATAACTCACATCTAACCACAACATTACCTCAGTGACTCAGAATTGTCAGGGCTTCTGTGGTGGGTTGATGCTGTCTGGATGGCAAGTGCCCACCCAAGCCACTTTGTCTCTACCCCTCCTCAAATGGACAGGGGAGAGAAAATATAAAAGACTCGTGGGTCAAGATAAGGATGGGGAGAGAGCACTCAGCAGTTACCGTCGTGGGCAAAATAGACTTGACTTGGGGAAATGAATTTAATTTATTACCAATCACATCAGAGTAGTATATTGAGGAATAAAATCAAATCTTAAAAACACCTTCCCCCACCCCGCCTTCTTCCAATTTTACTCCTGATTCTCTGCCTCCTCCCCATCACTGGCACAGGAGGATGTGAATGGGGGTTGTGGTCAGTTCATCACACATTGCCTCTGCTGTTCCTTCTTCTCAGGGGAAGGACTCCTCACACTCCTCCCCTGCTCCAGCATGGGGTCCCTTCTGTGGATGACAGTTCTCCATGAACTTCTCCAACTAACTCCTTCCCATGGGCTGCAGCTGTTCATGAGCTGATCTAGGTGGGTTCCTTCCACAGGGTCCAGTCCTTGAGGAAAAGACAGCTCCAGTGTGTGTGTCCCCTGGAGTCATGAGTCCTGCCACCAAACTTGCTCCAGTGTGGGCTCCTCCCTCCACAGGTCCAGAGGTCCCTGCCAGAATCCTGCTCCAGCACAGGCTTCCCACGGGGTCACATACTCCTTTGTTCATCCATCTGCTCTAGCATGGGGTCCTCTACAGGCTGCAGGTGGATCTCTGCATTCCCACAGACCTCCACGGGCTGCAGGGGCACAGCTGCCTCACCATGGTCTGCACCACAGGCTGCCAGGGAATCTCTGCTCTGGCATCTGGAGCACCTCCTTCCCTTCCTTCTGCACTGACCTTGGTGCCTGCAGGGCTGTTTCTCTCACATATTCACACTCCTTTCTTGTCTGACTGCAATTCCTCCAGCACAATAACTTTTCCCCCTTTTTATATACATTATCCCAGAGGAGTACCACTGTCACTGACGGGTTCAGCTTGGCCTTGGCCAGCAGCTCGGTCTTGGAGCTGGCTGGCATTGGCTCTCTTGGACATAAGGGAAGCGTCCAGCAGCTTCATACAGAAGCCACCCCTGCAGCCCCCCTGCTACCAAAACTTTGCCATGGAAACCCAATACAGTTTCAAAGAAAAGCAACACTGAAGATTTAGTATTAGAAGTTTTAATCAAAATTCTGACTCAGGATAAAGGGCTACAAGATACTCCTCCTTTGTAATTGTGGATAAACTAAATTTCTGTGAATTACTGGAAGACGATAATACTGAGGAAGAATTTTTGATGGTGCACTGTCAGAGCAATTAGTCTACAGAAGTCAGCAATACTTCTGCAGGTTTAGGACTCTGCTAGATTTTCACTAAACCCCTACAAAACTCTTGATTTCAAGCCCATGCTTTCTCCTGTGCAATTGAAATCAAACCACTTTGCAACATTTAGGCTGGAATGTGTCCCACAGTAACAACCATTCTTCGTTGCTAGAAAATGACACTGGTATAGTGTCCTCTTCTCCAATAGTGGCCAAAAAGGGAGGTCCACACAAGGCCATCCTGATGCACCATACCTGCATGTTGTCTGAAACTGGTATGAAATTGAGCAAAGCCCTCTATCTCTTCCCAATGATGCTGTTTTTCCTGCCTCCTACTTTCTTCTGATTATTTATTTTGGTTATCTGGAAGAAAAAGCAAACATTATCATTTTCCCTGTACTGCATGCAGGGGTTCTTCCTTTACTCCACAGCCATGTCCTCAGTGGTCTCCCCTATTTTACTAACCTGTCCCCAGTCAGGCACATCTACCCTTTCCTACCTCTCTTTGCAGCCTGTCTTTTCCCTGTTTAACATCCTCTTTCTACCCTAGGCTAGCTAACATCCCACCTCCTGGCTTTTTGATCCTTCTCTCTCCCCAGTATCAGACCAGCAAGAACTCCCCAGAGCCATGCTTGGCTCCAGCACTGCTGCCCTCAATGAAAGAAGCAGGTGGAGATTTTCACTCCCTGAACCCCTTCAGCTTTGCCAATCTCCTTCTCCTGCTGCAACTACCACTATGGCCAACCCAAGGCACCAGCCAGGACTCCCTCACCTGGCACCCATCTTCTGCTGGCTGGCACAGAGGACCAGAGTAAGAAGCCTAAGGGCTCTGCTGTGCGGCAGAGCATCCCTTGCCTGTTCCATCCACCCTGTCCCTAAACCACACTCTGGGTGACCTCAGCTTTGCCTGGAGCACTTCACTCCATCCTTTGCTGTAGCATCCCCGTCAGCAGCACCTGTACGGATCTTGGTGTCACAGGTCTGAGCTGGGAGCCAGCAAAGCCTCACTGAAATGCACTGAGCGGGCTCTCTCATGTTACCACTCCCGCCTTTTCTAGGTCATTGATGAACACAGGGGCTGGCACAGGTCCCTCGCGATAGCGGTGACAGCTCTGCTTTGTCGCCTGGCTCTTCCTGCCTCTCTGCGACGTGTTTGAACCTTGCTGCCACCGTCCCATCTGTGTCCAAGGTTCAAAGTCCCTGCGGCCCGTCTGCCTCTCCTCACCTGCCACCGCTGGCGAGCGCGTACCCCGGGGCCCGGCGGCAGCCAGGTGCGCTCACACCTGTACATCCCACCCCTCTCCCCCGGGCGTTCCGGACGCGGCTCCCACACCGGGGCACGAGACTCTCCCGAGCGAGCGAGGAGCGTCCCTGGGGATGTGCGCCCTCCCCCGGGGCCGCTCCTGCCCCCGAGCACCCTCTCGCTGCCGGGCGGTGCCCGCGGGGCTGAGGTGGCCGCGGAGGTGGCCGCGGAGGTGGCCGCGGGGGGCCGCTGCGCCTCGCCGGGGACGGGGCCACCGGCGCACGCGGGTCCGGGGGGCGGGCGCGGGGCAGCGGCGGACAAAGCCGGCCGGCGCCTCCGCGCAGCTCCCGCTCCCGCCGCCGCGCCCGCGGCCTCCCGAGGGGCGGGAGGTGTCGCCCCCGCCCGCACCGCGCCGGCGGCGGCCGCGGTGGCGCTGCCGAGCCGAGCCGGGCGCTGGGCGCCGAGCACCGGCCGCCCGCCCGCCCGCACCCCGCCCCGGCCGGCGGCGCGCACGGCGAACATGGCGGCGGCGGTGGGGCGGGACACTCTACCTGAGCACTGGTCCTACGGCGTCTGCAGGGACGGGCGCGTCTTCTTCATCGAGTAAGGGGGCGCCGCGCGAGGGGTGCGGGGAGGAGGGAGGGCGGCCCTGCTCCCGCCCGCCCGCCCGGGCGGCCGCACGCAGTCACCGCTAACAGGTGCATGTTTTCCGCTTCTCCCTTCCCAGCGACCTGACCCGCACCACCACCTGGCTGCACCCTCGCACCGGGGAGCCCGTCAACTCCGGCCACATGATCCGCTCAGGTGGGTGCCCGGGGGGCGGCGGGGCCCGCGAGCGGCGCCCCCCTCCCTGCCCGCGGCCGGGAGGCACCGCGGGCGAAGTTCTCACCCCTCCTTCCCGCTCTCAATCTCTTTCTCTCTCTCTCTCTCTCTTTCCCCCGTGCCTTGCAGACCTGCCCCGCGGATGGGAGGAGGGGTTCTCGGAGGAGGGCGCCAGCTACTTCATCGAGTGAGTACCCGCTCGCAGCCCCGGGGGCGCTGGCGGCGCGGCCCCGGCCCGCCCGGGGCTCGGCTGAGCCGCTCCCACCCCCGCAGCGGCCCCGCACGTCCGCCGGGCTCGTTAACGATCCGCAGGCGGGAGGCACAGCGGGCTGCGCCGTGCCACGGGCAGAGTTGGCTGCCGGGAGCGGCGGGATGCGGGATCCCCCGCAGCCGCGCTCTCGCGGTGCTCAGCAACAGGTTCGCTCGGAGGCGGCTCTTCACTTTTCCCTTTTTTTTTTTCTTTTGGTGTTGTTTCCTCCCCCCTCCCCGGTATTTCCAGAGCGGTGTGTGGCAGGTGGAGCGTTGCACTGCTGAGCGCCGGCCGCGGTGGAAGGTGTGGATGGTGGTTTTGTTGTTTTAAGTGGCTCGTGGCTGCGGACGCAGCCCCGGGAAGTTTTGCAAGTGAAAGGCTTCCTCTAGTGTTTCTTCCCAGAGACGGGGCTGAGCAGATGAACTTGCCGTTCCAGGGCTGGTGGTGGCCGTCGGGTCTTTCTTGTAGCATTTCTCATTCAGAGAACAGTTAAAAGCAGAGATGTGCTGCTTACTGAGGTGCTTTTGTTCTGTGGGATGCCAACATATTGGAGTAAAGTAGGATAATTAAGAGAGCCACTTTAAAACGTTGCATATACAAGGCTTTTACAAATGTAAACACTGATGTAAAAGTAGAGATTTGATCAAATCAGTACAACTCAGGGACATCCTGCATATAGAGATATGTGTCACTTGTGATGCCACTGCATTTTTCCTTTGGAAGTCTGAATGCCTGACAAATTTAATGGAACTAAGACAGATTGGAAAACACTGAGACTATCTTATTGCTTCAGTGCAGGACTGGGATGGCTAGCCCAGGTCATTAAGTGCAGCCCCCAGTAACTGCTAACAGTTGTGTCATAGTTGTCTGGTTTTGAAATGCCTACAGAGCTTACCCCAAAACCTTTGACAAACTTTAGGTTTTTAGTAAACATCAGATTTCCAAACTGTACTGCGCCAGGAATTGACTTGGAAGGAGGAACTGACTGAAGGCATCTGAAATGCCTCGCAGGGTAGAATGTTTGTTAAATAAAGTTCCAGATGATCCTAATATGTTCATTTTTCACCTGTAAAGGAGAAAAAAGGCACTGAATCTCTGTTTGTCTGAGCCAGAGAATTCCTTACAGTGCTGGGCTGGGTAGTTTAGCTCTTGACTAAAGGAGGTAGTAGCAAGGCATTGGAGAGCAGCTTAATACCACTTAGAGTTGCCACCCTTTGTCTGTGGCTAGTGAGTTGAAAGAAAGGAATAAAAGTTCTTTTGGTTACATAGGTGGCTGATGAAACTCTTAAAATAAGGTAAGTGCCCAGTCTGTAAGTGTAGTGTAAGCAGATCCTTTACCTGGGTACATCAAGACAAACTTCTAGATGTAGGAATACATCTATTTGCTTTCCTGTCCTTTTCAGAAACTTACTAGTGCAGTTTTAGAACAGCTTAAATTCTTGTTCCCAACTTTGGGAAGAGCACTTAGTGTCTTGTGTGTCAGCCAGTTACAAAACTTTTAATTTCTGATCCATTAAATTAGAGTTGTGGGCAGTGCATTGTCATAACTTGTGCTAATAACATTCTTTAGCTTGGGCTGGAATTGCTCTAGGAAATGAAATAGGGAATGGAGCATGTATTTCACAGAGCAATTGGGTAAACCTGACCATCTTTGGTCAAGCAAAGTTTTGTGAGGAGGCACAGCAATTTTTTGACATAAATCTGTTCAACTGTACTGCTTCAGACCCAAGAGTCACCTGATACTGAACATGATATTCACCTTTTCAGCACTGATACTTCCCCCAGCACTGCTCTAGCCTCTCTGATTTCAGCTCAGAGGCTTCCTGAGCCAAGTGGAATTTCTCATTTTGATTTCCCTAAACATGTTGAGCTCTCCTTGTGCTCATATAAACATCAGCATCCTCAAATGATGATTTCCACACCTCACAGCTCTGTTCATTCCTCCTATGTTGCTACCACGTGATGAGTTCTCAGCTTACAGAAAAGGTTACTGGTCCCTAAACGCATGATTTCACATGTTGTGGTATTAAATTCCATTTTCTGGCATTCCAGCTCACAAAACCTATGAACTCTCCTGGATAACTACCTACTCCTCTTTGTACTGGTGATAGTTCCAGTCTGGTGTCATCCACAGAAATTTCCTAAGTGCATTGTTACTCCTTGGCTAATAATTTATTGAAGGGTGTCGGGAGGAATATTCCAAGTAACCTCTCTCCCTTGTGATAACTTCCAGTATTAATACAGCCCAGTATTGTGGTTTTCCACTCTGGCCACTTACTGAATGTATCTTAAATACCTGATTTCTGGTACAGCAGTAATGAAAATATTAGGTAAAACATTGGATGTGAGCTGTCTGACGTAAAAAAACCTTAACTAATCCTATGTCCGTTTACTTCCATGTCTGTATTGCTTCTTTCTATACTGTGGACAAAATTGACACATCATAGAGTAAAACAAAGGTTTATAATCTGGTTAAGGTTAATATCAAAGCCAGGTGAGCTTTTCTCCCTTTTCACATAACTGGAGTTTGAAAATTTCCAGAACTCTACTTCTGTTGGATAGAAGCTTTCCAAACCAATGTGCTGTGATTTAGAATGTTTTTTTACTGTTCTGTAGTTACACAGATGTCCTGTAGTCTAAGGAGTACTATTTTCCTTTTGGTTATTTACTCGAGATGCTCGTCTGAAATCACATTCCCTCTTAGCCTTGTTTTGCTCAGCTAAGCAAGCTGGGTTCTTTGTCCAGTCCTTAAAAAGGGCTCTCTGTCTCCTTGATTATGCTGTAGTTTTCTCTGCACCTCTTGCAACATGAAGTCATCTTTGTTGCATTTGAGTGAACGGAGTCGTATGCTGGAGTGAGCTTTTGTGAGGCTCTCACACAACAAAAGTGCTTTTTTGGCTCTAAAAATTTCTCAGTTTTCTGCAGTTTAGGTTGTTTGTGTATTTAGGAAAGACGCCCACACTGACAGCACATGTGAATGCTGCCAATTGACTGATACATGCAGATCTTTCTTTTCCTTTTCTGCTTTTAACTTCTAAGACTGTTAAGTTATATTAGGAAGGTACATTCCAGTTCTTCCCATTTTTTTCCCATCCATGTCTTCATGAATGATTTTATCTGTTCCAGTTATTCAGGTTTTCTTAATAGTAGCAAACCCTATTAGTGCAGTTCCGCCTCTTATCCTAAAATCACTAAATAAAACAGTAAATTATGTATAAACTGATTTTTCTGGATCTTCATCTGGTAGTTTTGGCAAAACCTATTTGTCTAAAAGTATCACGGATGTTGCATTTTCTGGCTTGGAATGCTCAGTACGTCTTGCACCATTCTTTTCCATCTCTTTTGTTTGTTTGTTTGTTGATGTTTTTTGAGAAGTCTTGTGTTTGTTGGGCAGCTGCTTTATGGGAGAGTTGCTGCAGAAAGGTTGTTGCTGAGCTTATGTGGAATTGAATGGAAACTTGACAGCACTGGCTCTGGTTTGTTTGTGGTAGTTGGGTTGCTGATGTGAAGTGTTGAGGTTGGCAGACTCTCTTTGGGGAAGGAGATGGGTTCAGGGCAAATAATGACTGACGGTAAACCAGTGCATGTATGTGATAGTTCAGATTTTTGTTTCCATTTGCTGACCTTTTTCTCGTCATCCAAAAGACTTGGAAAGCTTTGAAAGTGTGGAATGCTTTTTTATTACCTTTTTGTAGCTTTCAAAGATTGATATGACTGCTGATGTGAAAGGATCTGTTCTTCCACTGTTGGATACCTAACTGGCTTGTATTTAAGTGTGTTAAAAAAATGTACTGCTGCTATAGTATTGCACATCTCAAAGGTAATATTGCATTCAAATTGTAACCTAGAGTCAGGAAGAGAAATCAGCACTTAAATATCTGAAGTCAGTTTTTAGTTCAACATGGACTCTTCTTTGGGTAACAGTGGATGTACAACAAACAAAAATGTGAAATTGGCATGTTCATAGTGATACTCAGTAACTGGTTTGCAACTGCTATTTTTTAAGTCTTCTATTTAGCTTGTACTCTATGAAGGAAATATGTGTGGTATGTAGTTCTAGTGTTTGGAAACAGTAAAAGAGTAAAGCACACTAAACTGAAGTATACCTTTTTAACTTTGATTATTCCATGTCAAGCCTGTACATTCAGGTACAGTGTCACTGAAAATTACACCGAAGCTCAGACTCACCCATTGTGGGCTCCAGATGATACCCACTTAATGATTATTTAATCACAGAAGCCCAAAGGGGAAGAGACCATCTGGATTATTGAGTTCAGTCCTTTTGATTATCTGAGAAGATTGTTTTATAATCTCATTAATAAGTTTAATCAACAAGTGTCTCCTGCCCTGCAGAAATTCCTGTGTTCCCCACTCCTAGCAGGATGTTGAAAACTGTTTCCTTTTAGTGGCTGTTTATGTGGGCTGAAGCACTGTTGACTATGTATTCCATGACCTGCTGTAAAGACAAATTATTATTTCTTGTTCTTACTGTGTTTTCCACGGTGGTTGTTGCTGTAGAAGTAAAAGATATTGAAGCACTTAACTACTAAGGAGTAGTGATGACCTTCATAATGAGATCTTTAATATAAATTATGTCCTTTGGGGTTCTTGAACCTGTGCTTAGATAAAAGGTCTCAATTAATGTAAGTGAGTAAGTACTAAGTAAGAACTCACATGAAACCCACTTGTGAGGAGCTGGCCTATGAAGACTTTAGCGTTTGTGCATGGTCAGTTTGAGATGTGGGAAGCTCCTGAAGCAGAATAAAAACTAGGTAGCTGGAACCATATGAGGACTTCACCAAAAGTGATAAATTTACACCATCTCTAGAAAATTTGAGCACAGTCTCTGGCAAAATGGAAGGGCTTTGTGTGCTGTAGAGTTTCATGAGGAAGCTTTTAGGGAAGGAAACCTGGACTGGTTCCACAGCAATGGGGAA